ACATACATAGCATTTACTTTGGGTCAGGTCCAGGACTCACAGCTGCAACATTAAGGATCTAAAAGTTGAACTTGGGTACCAGGGTTCCAAAGCCTGAGTGCGCTCAAACCATGTTGTCTTAGCTCTGAAGATGCTTACCACAGCGCTGCACACAACAGGAGAAGTTTAGGAATCAACTAAAGACCTTGTAGCCATTTCCATCTGTGGCAAGGCGTATCTCTAAAGAGAAAGGAGATGTGCTTGGAAGATTAGCAGATGAGTTTGAATCGTGGCTTACGAGTGTGTCCATGCCTGTGTGGAGAGGCGCGAGGGGACAGTGAGCATCTTTCTTTATTGCTTTCCCACCTTATGGTTGAGACGGAGTGTTTCACTGAAGTTGGAGCTCACCTGATTTGGCAAGACTAGGCAAGCCCTGATTTGGAATCCTCCTGTGCCCAGATGGGGTTCCATGTGCAAAGGACCACATACAGCCTTTTATATACATGTGTGCTGGGTATCTGAACTCAGGTCCTTGGGCTTGTATAGCAAGGACTTCATGGAATAAACCATCTCCCCAGCCCTGAGTTTGAATCTTCTAATGATGTTACCCATGTAAGTTCTCCATGACCCACTCAACATATTCTGCAGGATAATGCCAATGAGTCAATGATAGTGAACTATTATATTCAAACACTCAGTAAATGGAAGGTAGTTGGTAACAGAAATTCCTGTCTACCCCTTTGCCTTGCAACACTGCTTGTTCAGATAAAATGCAGCTTAGATTTGGTCATAGGCAAGGGCAGATTCTCAACTCAGATCCTGAATAACTCATTTCAAACGCTACTTTGGGATTTTATATGTAAGAAACGGCTCTTTTGCTGTACTCCATTGGAAGTCAGCCTTTGCTGGGCACGGTGGCACGTGCTTACAATTCCAAAACTACAATAGCTGAAGAGGAGGGCCATTGTTAGGGGCACAGAGGTCCTTGAGTCCACAGATCTCCAGAGTAACCAGGAATGTTAAGCACACAGGATTGTCTCTCCAATGGGAAAGATGAAAAACCTGTTCTTCCATCCAGAAAGCTGCACATTGGATAAAGTGGTTAATAGCCCAGTGATCTGCGTTATCTGCTGAGCCAGGCCGTATCAAGCTCTTACAATCAGGACTGGAGGTGGCTAGTTATCTAAATGACCCTTAGAGGCTCCCACAACCCAGACAACCGGGACGGGGAGTGGATAACAGCCCAAATGACCTCTACAGTGACAGAGATCGGGCCAGCCCTTAGGCCCTTAAGCTAGTACAGGTATCATATCTTTAGAACCCATCTTCTTAGAAGAAATGACACGTACCCCGAGTTGACTTTCAATGTAATTACGCTTTCTGGGCAATGGGGATTGTATTACATCAGGAAACACTCTCCCAAAATATGCTGGGCTTAAATACATCGGGAATCAACCCCCTATTATTAGACTTCCCTGAAGTCTGATCCAGGTTGACAAGTAAGTCCGCACTGCTTTTCGTTTTTGTTTTTTTGTTTTTTCGAGACAGGGTTTCTCTGTGTAGCTTTGTGCCTTTCCTGGAACTCACTTTGTAGCCCAGGCTGGCCTCGAACTCAGAGAGATCCACCTGCCTCTGCCTCCCGAGTGCTGGGATTAAAGGCGAGCGCTACCACCACCCGGCTTCCGCACTGCTTTTCATTCTTATCTCTTTGAGCGATTTGCTTCCCTGTATGACACCTGCAGGGGCCCCTCAGACCACGTGATTAGGCAAGCCTGTACTCTACAGTGAGCTAAGGCCAACCAAGCTACATTTAAAACTGCTTCAAGATGGCATGGTGGAGCCGGGCAGCGGTGGCACGCATGCCTTTTATCCCAGCACTCAGGAGGCAGAGGCTAGCGGATCTCTGAGTTTGATTGAGGCCAGCCTGGCCTGTAGAGCGAGTTCCAGGACAGGCACCAAAACTACACAGAGAAACCCTGTCTTGAAAAACAAAAACAAAACAAAAAGATGGCATGGTGGTACAGGCCTTTAATTCTAGCACTCAGGAGGCAGCCTGATCTACAGAGTGAGTTCTGTTCCAGGACAGCCAGAGCTATATAGTGAGACCCTGTCTCAATAAACAAACAAACAAACAATCAAACAAACAAGAAAACCCAAAACCTTTTTCAGAGAAAAAAAAAAAAAACCCAGAGCAAGCAATAGTCCTAAACTGATTTGGTGAGGTGTAAACAGCTAAGCCTGAGAAATTAATAATAAATATATGTATATCTGAAAGAGGATACCTGAAGGCAAGCAGCACATGGGACACATCTTTGTTTGCTCAACAAATATACAGTTCATCACACACACACACACACACACACACACACACACACACACACTACAGATAGTGGATATTGTGCCCTCTAAAACTATCCCAACTTGGCCATCAGGTTTGAGCTGCTTCTCTTGTTTGAACCTAAGATTTTTCTACAGTGTGTCAATAGGTCGTAAGAATTCCTTCAAAGCCTCAAGTTGAATGTGGTTCATCGACCATGCCTGAATCTAGGTTAAAAAGTAAATCTGTGATCAGCTATTGTGCGGGTTTTAATTTTTTTAAAAAATAAAGGTTCGTGGCTGGAAAGATGGTTCACTGGTTAAGAGCACTGGCTGCTTCTCCAGAGGACTGGAGTTCGATTCCCAGCACCCACATGGAGGCTCACAACAGTGAGAGCTCCACTTCCAGGGGACACGATGCTCTCTGTGGATGATGTGGACACTGCAGGCATGTCAGTGAAACATGCAAGCAAAACACACATACACATGGAATAAAATTAAATCATCTTAAAAATCTCAGTTATACTAGAAGTATATAAGATATGTATCAATAGATTTATATCATCATTTATAACAGAAATAACCAGGAAGTATTCCAGTGTCCCAAGGAGGCAAAAAAATTACTAAGAAATACACATAACCAGAGTATAAAATCAAAAAAATTCAAATCAGTAGTCCAAATCATATTTACTAAAAATAAATAATAAAGCAGCATGAAATAGGAAAAAAGTTGAATTCATAATTGCAGCAATGGAAATGGGGTGGATATTTACAAAACCCAAGACACATTTGGCCAATTTTGCATTATGCTCTCTTCTGGGTGAGGTTGCCCATATTGACCACAGAGAAAGAAAATCTAGAGTAATCCTGTTTGCTGAGTACACATATCCATCCCACAGTAGAGGGCAAAATGTCCAGGGAAAATTTCTTAGCTGGTGGAGAAAAGCACCATGCTTCAGTTATTACACCAAAAGGCAGGACTACCTTGGCAACAGGCTCCTGATCACAGGTAGTACACTTTAGCCTACTGCCTGGAACCCAATTGCAGATTCGAGATTGTTTTCTAATCTAAGTAACTGCTTAGAGATGCACACTCAACACAAACATTTGATGCTGGTGTTTATTTACCCACAAAAGTGCACACGAGGCTAAAGTCAGAGTCGAGTCCTACTGGCTGTCACTGTGGTTCAGTTTCAGGTGGGACAGATCAGAGTGGCTGATTCATGTCACATTCAGAGAGTCCCAGCCATCTTTCACAAGCACCTTGTGTTTGGAAACGTAAAAACGCACGAGTCATTTTGTCCTTGTATTTACAGCATCCCACAATCTTGTAGTTTCAAAATGATTGAACAATGGCATCAAGTTAGTTGGGTTGTACATTTCTTTTATTAATATATTTAGCATTCTTAAACCCTTCATTAAAATTGATTTACTCCAGCTCTTGGGATAAATTGTTTCAAGGGGTTCGATATAGACGCTGATTCAAGATATAATTTTTCCCATAACTAACCTCTGTAGTGTGGCCTTGTGGAGCCCAACTTACTTCATACTATTTCTGGCACCAACTCCTTGGCAATGTCGTTTGGAAGTAAAGCTTCTGTCACACAGCCCAAGATTTTTTTTTTTTTATTGTACTTCAATGTTTTGCTATAAGAACCATGATATTAACCATTAGGAAAAGTGACTGCTTAGTAATATGGTTATGAGACTCTCAAGTGAGTCAAAAGACCAGAGCTAAAACTTCAGGCAAAATCTGAACACAACTTCCAAAGCCGAGATCCAAACCACACGAAATTTTATGAATCTTTGACGTCAAGCATTAAGTTTTCCAGTAACCACGTTTTGGGAGGAATCAACGTAGTAACAGAAAATGAAGGAATAATGATACCTACTAAATTTGTCCCACCCGAAATGATCGGGTGCCAGTCCTGGCTAAAAATTCACCATCTGTGCCTGGGGGTGGGGGAGGAGGCAGTGATGGAGTGCCTGCCTAACGCGCATGAGGCCGTGGGTTCGATCTCCAGGAGTGAAATAAATAAATAAACAAATACAAATAATGAATAAAATCGCCATCTAGGTGACTTGACCAAAATACTTAATTTCTATGATTCACATCTGCTTCCTCCACCAAGAATATATAGTTTCTAAATTAAAGCAAAGTAAGTGATAAACACGAGGCTGCTAAAACTATCATTCGTCGCTGCTTATTACCTAGCAGGCGTGTCCTTTAAGTGGATATATTTGAAAGCAGCCTTTAACCATAGAACCGCTTTTTCTCATAATTTTAAGCCATAGGGTTAAATACACACTCATAGAACTCAGCAAAACTATGGCACTGTCCAGTTTAAAAGCAACTCGAGGAAACAGTAGCGAACAGTCCCAAATAAGTATGCAAGGAAGCCAACCACAAGGGAAACTGAGTTAGATTAAACAGACTTTTTAGGGAGATGTTTACCCTGAAAGGGAACGAAAACACACCCCTCAGATAAACAATGTCCTCCTCTTATTACTCCCCTGTTCTAACAAAATTGAACAAAACCACAAACAGAGCACAAAACCACCGATCGGGCCAGGTTACGCTTTACCTGTGGAGCGCGTGCCCGGAGCTTCACCGACCGGGCACCAGACGCTGCCATTCAATGAACTTTTTTTTTTGAACGGGAGCGCTGAGGGTTGGGGACGTGCGCGGGAGGCGACCTACCTACCTCTCACAGACTTCCCGATGCTGTGCAAGTGCGTGATCGAACTGTAGTCCTGGGCAACGCTCTTGAGGAACGCCTCCATCCCTTCCTGGTGGTGGTATCGGAAATCCAGGGCGGTCACCACGGGCAGCAGAAGCCCCAGCCACAGGCGCGCGAGGTCCATGTCCTAGAGATGGAGGAGAAGGAAAAGAGCTGCTGGGGACCGCCGAGGGGGAAGCGCGGGCACCTCCAGCCGGGACTCCTCCCGGCCCCGAGGACACCCGGCGGGCACCTGAGCTCCACGCTCCCTCTTCCGAGGTGGAAGAGGAGGGTGGCCCCTTGCAATCCGGAGCCCCGCAGCTCGCCCCAGTCCCGGCAGCAGCACCCTCCCGCACGCCCCGTCTCACCACTGCCAGGCGCGCGTCTCCGCCCGCCGGCGGCCGCCGGGCGCTCCGGGGAGTTATAGCCCGGCCAGAGGGGCGGGGCCAGGTCCTTCCCCGCCCACCGACACGCCCACTCGGCGCCTTGCCCGCCCCTTGGGGCGGGGTCACTGTCGCTCCAGGGACTGCGAGCCCCGCGGGGTTTTTGAGCAGCTGGTGGGCGGTGTGGAGCGCGACCCGTCCCGGCTCCTGTTGGACGTGCCGCCTGCCCTCGGCCACGCGGCCCGGAGACACTGCCCAGAAGCCGCCTACGGCCTCCGCTGTGCCGGCCGTGGTGGTGGTGGTGGTGGTGGACACGGTGCCCGCGGTAGGGCGGTGGGCGGTGCAGGGTCACCTGGCTTCCAGGCCTGCGCTGCCGTGGGTGAAGCTGGGGCTGGGCTGGGCTGGGCTGGGCTGGGCTGGGGTGGGGTGGGGTGGGGTAGGGGCTTTTAAGAAAGAACGTGTTGTGTGAGCTCTAAGTGCCAAGTTGTGCAGTTCGGGAGCATGTCCAACAAAAGTCTACGGCAGACGAGATTTGACCAAATCCGAGTTAAGTTTGCGACCAAGTCGCAGGACAGAAGTAGAGCCGCTGTTGCTGCTCGGATTCCTCAGGCCAGTTCCGGCGCTTCTTCCTAAAATGCTGCTTTCTGGGAGGATGGGGTGGGCTGTGTTTGCACTAAACAGAACACAGGTCAGGACTGATGATGAGAAGTGCATCGGGACACTGGCCATCCCGCTGAATACAGACCGTGACTAATGAGCAGTAGTTCGCGACACAGACTATCATGCTCTACAGGATACCACATGCGCTGTCCCGCTGTCCCACTGTCCGGTGGATTTGCGGAACCCTGTTAGAGAAATACCGACTCCTGCAAGGGTCTGATGAAAACAAACTTCAAAAGCTACTGATTAGTTATCACACTCGTGAACAGGTTTTTAAAGCAGTGACGACAGGGGCCGGCCATCCCAATCTGATGGGGTGGAATCTCCTTCCCGGAGCACAAAAGGAGGGGGTTATTCTTAAAAGGGCCCTTGAGGGTGGGAGAGATGATTCAGAGGGTAAAGATTGGTTGCAAAACTGGCCACTGGGTTTGAGTCTCAGAACCCATGTAAAGTGAGAAGGAGAGACCAGACTTCACCAAGTTGTCCCTGACCTCCACAGGTGCAATGTGATCCTTGCTGCCCCCCCCCCCCATGCACATACGTAATAACAAAAGAATTAATGGTTTAAAGCAGCAGTTCTCAACATGTGGGGCATGACCCCTTGGGGTCGCACATCAGATAGCCTGTGTATCAGATATTTACATTATGATTCATAACGAAATCACAGTCATGAGGTAGCAACGAAAATAATTTTATGGTTGGGGGTCAGCACAGCATGAGGAACTGGATTAAAGGGTCGCAGCGTTAGGGAGGTCGAGAACCCCTGCTGTGGTGGCTCTGTGGCTGCAGACTGGGAGGGGGTGGCTTCATCAGTACTGATATGGATTGCCCTCCCAATTCCAGGAAAATGAAGAGGTGAGAAAAAGTTGCAGTCGCTGCCCTGGAGGTTCACGCCAGATAAGAAGGACCGGTCAGAGGATGGGGGAGAGGAATCAGAGGCCTGAGATCCTGAAGATTTAGCACTTAGTGACCCTGCATGTGGTCTTAAGGACATTGATGTCACCTGGAGCATGCCGAAAATTCTGGATCTCTCATCCCATTGCAAGCGTTAACAGAGCTCAGAGATACATCCTGCATTCTGGTTTGAGAAACACTGCTCTAGAGGAAGAAAGAGAGGAAAAGAGAAAAAGAAAAGGTTCAGTGTCAGACTATGAAAGCTGTGGAAAAAGAAAAATTTAAGCTAATAGAGAAAAAAACCCCTCAGGTTTATGGTTTCAGAGGTGATCTTCCTTATCATGGAATGATTTAAAGCAAAACCGTAGTGTAACAGCTGATAATTTGGCGATACAAAAGCATATGGTTTCTGTATAGGTAAACCCGGCACAAAGCTTACAAAATAAATAAATTAAATTAAATAAAAAAAAGACAAAACCGGATGTCATGGTTTGCATAGGAATGTCCGCCACAGGCTCCTGTGTTGAAGGCTGAGTCATGATTGGATCGTGGAGGCTGACTTCATCAGTGGATCTATCCACTGGTGTGTACATAATTGATGGCATTATTTCAAGATGATGAAAACTAAGAGATAGGGCCTGGTTAGAGGAAGTAGGTCACTGGGCGCATGCCTTTCGAGGACATGCCTTGTTTCTGGCCTGTTCTGCTCACTCTCTGCTTCCTGCGTCCAAAGAGCTGAGTGGCTTTGCTCTGTCCTATGTTCCTACTGTGACCTGCCTCAGGACAACCAAGAGTCTATGTGCTGAACCCTGTGAACCTTTGAACCCAAATAAATCTTTCTTCCTGTATGTTGTTTTGCCATAGCAGCAAAGGCTGATTGACATACCAGAAGGCAGAATTAACAGCTCTTACAAAATCAAGAATGGGCAACGGACAATGGGCAGGTCCTTAAGCAGCAATATAAAGAGCCAATAAACACAGGAAATGTTACCACCTGGCTAGCAATCAAAGAATCACATATCAAAAGGGGAAGATAATATTTGGTTTTGCTAATCACTAGATATGATTTTTAAAAGACTGACAATACCAGGAAATGGTATTTATGTTCTTTCAATTGTGTTATAAGCAGTTACACTTGCTGGGAAAAGACAGCAACATTTCATGGGTGCGATTTCTTCTTCTAAGGTCATTTTAAAATGTGTTGTGTTGAACGTGAAGGTTAGAGCTTCAGAGTCAGGGTTGCTTTCAAATCCTGACAAAGTAAATAAAACCTAAAGGTCTAACCTAAGCAGGCCGCTTCCAACAGTGATTCTCTCTGGGGCAATATTTCCCAAAGAGTCCCTTGACAATACCTGGAGCTTTTTTTTTGGGGGGGGGGG